CATATTGTTTTGTTTGTATCATTTTTCTCGTACTTTAGGAATTAGGTTATTATTATCAAGTTTGTATTCATCACAAACTTCACTTGATTTTAAGTCACAGCATTTTACAAAGTAGCAGACGAACTACTCCTATCTTTTTGCTCTAATGTTGATAGTATGATATATACTGTGCATTTAAAAATAAGGACTGTATTATATTTTTCTTTTATCCTTTTTTTTTTAAATTTTTTTATTTTAACCAATAAAATGATCAAAACATTTCCTCGTGACAAGACTGAAGGTACAATTGGCCAATCAGCAAATTTCCCTTTAAAGGGCGGTGCTTAATTGATTGATTGTTATAATAGCAAATCAGCAAAAAGCATTAAACAGATTAGCCAATAAAAGCGACCAAAGGGAGAGCTTGTTATGGTAGTTTAAGCCAATGACCAGTCTCCTCAGCGTGACGCATCCTCCCATCAGCTGTTTTTGTTTTGTTGTGGGGCTACTGGAAGTTAAAACACAATAATCACATCTGTGTCTCATTGTTGAAGTATAAAGACTTGTTAATGGAATATCATATCTAATCTTTAACACACTGATGATAAGTTGTACCTGTTTGATTGGAAAATTTTGGCTTTTGAACCACCCAGATCTATCCGGACATTCCTCTCCCGAAGAAGAGTGTGAGCGTGGCGCTTGAGTCTGGGAGCGGAGGAGGGGACACTGGTTCCGACTGGGATCGACTGGAGCTCAAGGCCTTCGACCTCGGCCAACAAGAGGAGAGGGACAATCGGCTGCTGGGATGGAGCCCCAGGAAGCACCGGACGGCCCCGACGCCCAGCAAGGCTTCATCTGTGCTTCGTTTAACCAGGACACCACGTAAGCGACCTCGGCGCTCCCAGCAGTACAGTGAACTCAATCTTCTTGATGCACCTGACTGTTGCATAATATTTCACCACCACGTAGGCTTGGTTTCGTCTGTCCAAAAAGATAGATACTAAATGCAAAAGGATACTGTCACTTGTGAAATTGTGTTTATAAAGCTACACCAGTTTATGCATCAGGCAGTAGTGTTTTGGCCTGTTGCTATTGCCTACATAATAGTTAAAGACATAATTAACCATCTTCTTTGCTCCACATTTTTGCTACTAGTTGTAGGTTAGACAAAGGGACCCATTCACTCCAGTTACAGGGTCGGACTCCAAACTAAGCAGGTGGGAACACAAGAGCCAAAATAGACTTAGGAGAAAAGAAAGCAGATTTATAGTCTTCACAGTCTTTCTAAATATAGACCTGTCATAATTACTGTTGTAGTAACCCTTTCTGACTTTTTGACTATCTCTGACCCAAGGTAATGATAAGGCTGTGTAATCTGTCTGTACAACAGTAGTACAACTAACTAACTGATTTGGTCTCACAGCCAAATGACATATCACTTTTAAAAGCCACGTTTTAGTAACCTTACTTACAATACTGCAAAGTTATCATTACATTCTCTTAGCTCTGGAAAAAAATCTGTAGGCTATACTGGTGAAAACTGTTTTCATTTGTATGCTTTTAAAGTGTTACAATGCTTATGAATATAAAAAGACTTCATTATTTGTAGATCTCTGTCAATGGGGACTAAGACTGGATATCGGCTATTCTCTGTAACATCTGTGGACAAGCTGGACTGTATCCATGAAGGAGGTAAGATTGGACCAGTATGTGTTTTTTGTTGTTGTTTTTTAAATCAATTCTAACACATTACTTGGAATTGATGGCATTAAGTACTGTGGTCATGTTCACCTTAGTCAGGCTGTGTCAGATAGGCCAAAACATGTTTGCTTACCTCCAGTGAATCCAAACTAAATGTAGTGACCTATCTTGTTAAGTGTAGAAGGAGATAACTTATTTCTAATTTGGTTTCCTCATCCAACACATTCTTTGTCAGGTAGCCCTTTATGTATGTTGTTTTGTTAGGGAAAAGCATTACAAACAAGAAATATGAGTAACACACTATATTCTTTAACCTTTTGTGTAACTCTTAATTATTGGTTGGTCTACATCTCCAAACTCAAAATGCTCTGTTCCACCTTGTGATGTAATGAAGCAGTAGTTTTCAACTTAACAGCTACCTTTTACCTTTACTTTGGTAGAGACTGGGAATTCCAGGACTGAAATGATCAAAATGATTCTAGTGATGGTGTATGATATTTAAAAACACAGTGGAGCATTTCCTGTATTACCACATGACATCACAAGATGGAACAGTTTTCTGTTTTTCTGTTTGAGAGAAGAACTGGGTTTGTGTGTTAAACATGTGTGAATGCAACAACTCCAGTTTTCTGATGAGGAAACAACATTATAACATAGATCCGAGAATAGAGTAATATGGGACCTATACTGTAAATACTGTGTTATTATAAAGTGTGAACAAAACATGCTACAGTAGTATTAAGGGTTCAAACTGTTAATATTTTTTGTGTTAGTTGAGTGCCCAGATGTCTATATAGTGGAGCGGTTATTCTCCAGCAGTCTTGTTGTGGTGGTCAGCCTTTCCATGCCACGTCGAATGAATGTCTACCACTTCAAGAAGGGAACCGAGATTTGTAACTACAGCTACTCCAACAACATCCTTTCCGTCAGACTAAACAGACAGGTACATACTAAAACTATATTTCATGGTTTAAGGTGGTCAAGGCTTCTATTGATAGTTGTTTTTCTTAGCGACTAGTGGTCTGCTTAGAGGAGTCCATATACATTCACAATATCAAAGACATGAAGCTGCTCAAGACCCTGCTCAACACACCCACAAATCCCTCAGGTATTGTTCTTCTCTAATCAGTTTTTCTAATCATCTTTTGTTTAAACAAGAGGAAACCATTTTATAAATAGATTAAAATTTTGCGGTTTAAAAAATCTGACTTTGTTAAATTGTAATTAAACTGTAACTGAATTGTAATTTTCTGTTACCTGCAACTCTAATCTGATCCTAGCTATCACAAACCATTGTGTAAATGCATTTTTTTCAGACAATAGTGCTTTTATCCCAAAACACAAAATAGATATTCTTTCTTACAGATCAGATGCAAACAGCATGTAGCATTCAGATTTTTTTAGCCAAATGCTGCTTTTACAACCCCTTTTACTCTATTTTGTGTATAAATTGATGAAATTAAGATAACATTATCCTAATTATTTATCCAACTTGTGTCCTAGGATTGTGTGCACTCTCTGTGAACCACAGTAACTCGTACTTGGCATATCCTGGTAGTGCCACCATTGGAGAAATCACAGTCTATGATGCCAACAGCTTGGTAAGATATCAACAACTACAAAGACAAAATGTTATGATCGGCCAATCAGTCTCTCGCTTTAATGCGACTTGTCATTATTACCTCAGAGCACAGTGACACTGATACAGGCTCATGACAGTCCACTGGCAGCACTAACATTCAACGCATCAGGCAGCAAACTGGCCAGTGCCTCAGAAAAGGTGTGTTCATAAACTGTACATACCCTGCTTCTCTGTTCGGTCTACCTGTCTGACATGTTCATGTTCTGATCCTCCAGGGCACTGTCATCAGAGTCTTCAGCATTCCAGAAGGAGATAAGCTCTTTGAATTTAGACGAGGGATGAAAAGGTTGGAATTTGGCACTAACAATAAATAATGTAAATAGAATGTAATACAGTGTTATAACCTTTACTAGATAGCATTTTTTGGTGGTTCAAAGTAAGACAAGAAGGTTGTGTCAGTGTGGACCTCTAGTGTAATATTATACATAGATAAAAGTATATGTTGAGGTGAGATCAACAGCGACAAACTGAACGGAAATATGTGTAAAATTGTGTTAGCAATGGACCATACAAAGGAGGACATAAATAAAAACTATAACAAATTATAACTGTACTAGGTCAGTAGTACAACTGCTCTTTCACAGTCTAAATTGTCTACTTTTCTTTTATTAGATATGTCAGCATTAGTTCGCTGTCCTTCAGTGCAGACGGACAGTTTCTGTGTGCCTCCAGTAACACAGAGACCGTGCATATATTTAAACTGGAGCAGCACAGCCCTAGGTAAACATCAAGGAAAGAGCTGCATATACTTCAAAGTACTGTGAAGTAAAAATATTGTGCTCCATGATACATTCTAGGGAAGATGAAGAGTCGCCCACATGGTCTGCATATGTGGGGAAGATGTTCACAGCTGCTAGTACCTACTTACCCAGTCAAGTATCAGACATGATGCACCAGGACCGAGCCTTTGCCACTGTGAGACTCAACATGTTTGGATTAAAGAACATCTGTGCACTGGCCATGTAAGAAAAACATAGAAAATTCCAGGAAGTTAACACTATTATTCAAATTACATCATTGGTTGTTGTTTTGTCAGGATTCAGAAACTCCCTCGTCTGTTGGTGGCTTCATCTGATGGGTTTTTGTATATTTACAATGTGGACCCACAAGATGGGGGCGAGTGTGTGCTGGTCCAAAAGCACAGGTGTGAAAAAAGAACATTTTAATTATGTAATAAAAATTGTTGAAATAAATACAAATTTTACTTTTGCTATTTGCTGAAGGCTGTTTGAGGGTGATGATGAACTCGTGGAGGAGAAAAAAGAGGAAGAGGAAAACACAGAAGATGTCACACCTCAACCACCCAGTCAGTCATATGCTGCTACTGTGGCTCTGCCATCAACACCACCTTCCTCCACTACGCTTATGGGTACAGATTAATGTATAAACTTATCAATAATATTTTACTAGTAACTCTTTCAAATAAACACAAAATGACAAAACACTGGAAACTGTTTTTGTTCTAGGATATTCTGAAGAGGGTGGCGCACAGAAAGGAGAGGTCATCCCAGAGCATGAGTTAGCAGAGAGCCCTGTCCGCCTGGATGATGAAAATGAATTCCCACCAGTTGGTAATCAGAGTAACTGACCAAAATACTTCACCTTTCCCCTCCTCACTCCTTGCATACTGACTTGTATAAAGCAATGGACTGTCGTCCCTCTATTCACTTTTGAAAAGAAAAGGGAAAAAACACAAAAATATAAGTCTAAACATTTCAGAGTAGTTTTAGCATAATACAACAGTGTTATAATGTCTACATAAACTGCCATCTTTATACATTCAGTTTGGTTTGTCTAAAAGAGCAAGAACTGGGGAAAAAACAACTATTGCCATACTGTTGTAAGCAATGAAATAGCAGCTTAAAAGAAACTTGAAAGAATGTGAAGAATGAGCACCTTGAAAGCTATAATTTTGCAGGGCTCACCAAATGGGTTCTACACAGTGGGCATTGCAGGTGTCACAGCTGTAAGGAAATAGTGAAAAGAGAAAGAATTTGTGTGTTACACTATTTAAAATGATGCAGTAAGTATTAAATGACTTGCAGATGCAGCTGTTGTATCAATTACCGTAGCATTAGATGTGGCTCTTCTGCAGAGTCAGCTTGTGCAAGGAATCTCTAAGGAAGCTAAAAAGGTTAATCCATTTCAGCAGCATCGTAAATATGTAACATGTTGATATTTTTACTCATATTATGTTTTTTAAACTGTTATACATTAAGCATCAACACAACCATGTGTAATTATATATTTTAAATAATTTTTCTATAAGGTATGTTGTATATATAGTATAGCGTTTATTTACAAATGGTACTATTGTAATGAATAATATGGTAATAAAGTGAAGCGGCCAATGGGTGGCACTGTTGAATATCTTTACACTGCTTAAGTCGTTCCATAATTACATGTACATTAGAACTCATTAAACAGATAAGAAAGTCTGTGCACTGTGTGTGGGTGTGCCTTTTACAGCAATAGTTATGATAGTGTACATTAAATTCTAAGTAGCTTCACTTGCAAACATCATACCAGTAATTAATTGTCAACAGTGTAGACTATTTACATTTGCAGATCACCACATGCACATACAATGACATTCTATGTAAGGTGTCTTTTCTCTTTGATAAAATACATATATATTTTGGTCATGTACATAATTTTGCATATTACTGTACAGTTAAAACAATGTATTGTTCAATTGTTTAGCATGGTTTTAATTGCGATAATCTAGGTGACTGAAAATACTTACAGGATATGATCATTAAAAATTGTACATAACAGTTACTTTTATGTTTACTATGCTGGTAAATGTCTAATCACATTCGGACTTTCAGTTCCAATTCCCAAATCAATATTTCGTTACACAGACAAGCCTCTTGTGTGACAGCGACAGACAGGCTGTGTGGGGTCGCAACAGGGTGCAGCAGTGCTGTCTCTGCTGTAGTCTGCTGCAGACACAGACCTGTCAGTGGCTATGTCCCAGAGCAGCTCCTCTCTCCCACGGGCCATCCTGTCTGCCACCTCACGATATTCAGGTGTCTGGGGATCTAATGGGCGTTCCTCTGCTTCATCTGCTTCCAGGTCAAATATTAAAGGGGGGTCATGGAGCTCTTCACTTCCTGTCGACCCACCACATGCTTCTGCTGCCCCTGCAAACATTATATTATATTATAAATAAATCTTGAAAATGTTTACTTTTTGTGTAGACATTTTCGTTAAAGCATTGGTTTCTCATGATCATTAAATGTATTCAAATTTTGGTGGCCATAGACATTTAACAGTTATTTAACAGTTCTAAAGTGATTAAGGAAATAATGCCTAGAGTATCTGTAGAAATAACAGTCTAATAGTCCACCAGACTCCTCACAGATGTTGACCTTAAGTCAGCATACCTCCGTGAAAAGGTAAAACGAGTACTAATGAGTCCCTATGCTTTATGTAATAAACATTTGACTGGTCCAAATTACAACAGAACAGTCACTTATATATAGAGATAACACTTCTGACACATGCCTGTAATAAAAAAGGCTTTGTATTTTCCACAGCGAGCAGTTTGCAGATCTCCATACTGGCCTGCTGCACCACTGTTTGGGTGGAACAAGAACTAAAAAAAAAACAAATATGCATGAAGTTTATAAAGACATTAAAAAGAACAAACAGATATAACATTAGTAACATCACAGAGCAGTTACCTCATGACCGGTCAGCTCCCCATTCAAAAGGATATCAGTGGCATCTAACCCATCGTAACGTCTGTCTGAAGGAGGCGTCACTCCAGCCAGCGCCAGCACAGTGGAGAAAATATCCATGCCACTAAAATATATTTTAATTAATTTTTTTAAGCTGGACACTAGGGCTGCATGATATGACAAAAAGATGCAATATCTGATAACTATGTTAAATATTATATTAACAATTTGGATATTTTATATAGCCTACTTTCTGGCAAAATAAGTCATGTGAATTTATTAGTCAAAAATTGCCTATAAGGAAAATCACACATAAAATAAATTTTTCTGTGCATTTTAGTAAAAAAACAAACAACCACAGAAAAAAAAAACTGTACATTTCTGTAAAATGGAGAACCTTGTGTTATTTTATCTGAATTTCCTTGTCACACTGATTATTGCATCAACTGATACTGATATTTTGTGATATATTGTGCAACCCTACACTGTATATTTTTCATGTAATGTAAAATCTCAAAGAAATACCTCAATAGGGCAGAGCTGGTGGTGTTTGGAGGAATCCTGCCAGGCCAGTAAGCCACAGTTGGCACTCTATGACCTCCCTCCCACGTAGTTTGCTTGGCTGAACCTCCACCTAAACAAATCATTGATTACGGCAGCTAAACATATTTGGATTGTTACGGTGTCTTAATGAAATGAAATCCACACCTTTGTTAACCTGCCACTTCCCTGTGAATGGTCCCACACTCCCGGCATATTGACACTTCTGTTCCCATGGCCCATTGTCACCTAAAATAATGATCATGTTTACTTTTACATGTAATGACAAGAATAAGACAAGGTGAGTGCTGACAAACCTGTAAACCAAATTAGGGTGTCTGAATCCTCCACAGCACTCTTTAGCACCCCCACCAGGCTGTCCATCTCCTGCAGGCTGGCAGCATATACTGAATGGTCAAAGGTGAGGGGTGGACTGAGGCGTGGGGCCAGTGGAACGTGCATATGTGCCAAAGCTAAATACAGCAGATAGGGCTGCCCATTCTCCCTGTGATGACATCAAGTGATCTTGAATTAAATGTTAAAATTGCTAAAATCAAAATTTAGATCACCAGGCAATAATGTCTTTGTCTATTCTACTACAAAGGTCCTATATACACCTCTTAGTAATACAGTACAAGAGTTAATGAAAAAACTAAAAACAATACCTACTGAAAATTGTAGACATTAACTACTGTTTGTATATAATGTTTGACAAACATTACTAATTCTGGAGGCTGATATATTTAATATGAAATGTATGTAAGTGACTGACAGGTCTGTATTTGACTTCTAGTTCATAAAAACACACAACTGCTGGTGACTATCTCAGACAGTTGCCTCTATCTCATGGTTTCACATTGGAGTGGACAGGGCTTAACGTTAATTCTGAAACATGTTCTTCAATCATGGTTCAAAATAACATAAATTGATATATATTCAACAGCCTACTCATAGGGTCCAAGCTAGTGCAATGGTCCTGCAACCTATGCTTGACTAAATCTAAATATTAAAATGGTAGCCATCCCCATAACATTTTTCAAATCAGTAAGAAATCATTTGCTTGAAACCAATGAATAGAAATTAGTCGACCTTATATATCCCGTGAACATAAAGTCAATAACATCACATGACTTAAATTAATCAAATGTCAAAGGCTGGCTCAAACTACTTGTTTACAATATATAGTTCTTTACATGTTGCTCCTACATCAGGGTTTCTGTGTTGTTTGGTCTGTGCATTTGACTCATCAGCAGTGCATTCACTCACATGACACAAAATATAGAGTGAAGGCAGCTGCTCCCAGACAACTGCCCTCCTGCTGTCACCACACACTCACCAGCTTTACCATACAAATACCACTGTAGACCAAAGCAGTTTAAAGGGAAATCAGTTGGATTATATGGGCAATAAACTAGTGGCTACGGGTTGAATAGGATTGTACCTTGCATTATTTATAATCTTCAGTGCAGCTGACTTGTATGTTTCTGTGAGTGTCCAGAGGTCGAGAGGTTGTTCCACAATGCTGTTGTTTTCCATCAGAGGGAGCGCGACTTTGGAGTAACAGCTCCTACGTTCACTTCTCCGGAGTCTGAGAAATTTCAAGCAAAATTGCATAATCAAAACAGAAATCTTTGTACTTCTTCTATACTGCAAATTAAAAGTACTGGATGAACTCTCTAGCTTAGTTGTAATTAGATTTTATTATAATTAAATAATAAAACCTTTGCACTCTACTATACTGCAGCAAGAACAAATTACCCAGTTACTATAAAAGGCTATGCACAGTGCACTTATGTTGTCATATATTATAAAATATAAAATAAATCTATGACTCTTAATGGAACAATACATTTCTAATAGGGTTGTCAAAAGTGTCAAAAATCAGATACTAATTTATACAAAACTAGTATCAAAACTAGATAATTCCTTTGAGCAGGTATTAATACTAAAAAAGTCACATTGACAGGACAGACTTTTCCTGAATAGCTTTAGAATGATTTTGAGCTATATCAGAAGAAGTTTGTGCCCACTGACCACTATTGAACCGATTTGAATGACTGAGGGATTACATAAATATAACACACATGGTAATATAAAAGAAAGTATTATGATTTACTGTTTAAAATCACATTCTAGAGTATTTCTTATCATTGTGGTATCAGAATTGGTATTGAGTATTGAGTTTGAAATGTTAGTATCGCATCAACAGGAATTCCTAATGTATAATTACTGTATGAGTGGCAAAATAGAAATTGAACCTCAATATGACAACAGTAAAATAAGTGTGGATACCAAATGTCAGTGTGAAAATAGAAAAATAATAATACTAAAGGCTCCATCCCAGTATCATGTTGTACTATTTCTGTTTATTTCTGTGGCTCATACCTGATGCCCTGAGGCCCTGGTGAGTCACAAGGGAGGCACTGTGGAAGATCATATCCAGGTGTGTCTGTGCAACCCATGTCATTGCTGTAAGGAATGCCTAAATAGTTGGTGAACCCTGTCAAAAGCAAGGAGGCATTTGTGAAATTTTGCTGACACCACAATGATGGCTAATAAGTTGGAAAAAAAATTTAATTAATAACATTTTGAATAGGGTGTTATGCCTAAATGGTCACTCAGCTTGCTTCGTCAGTGCTATTTTAGGTTGTTTTAGTTCCTTTTGAGGGTATTGGTTTGAAAAATTACATTTAAGAATGGTTTAAACCAAAACCAGAATTCAGACAATTGTGTGTTTTATGATTTTAAAAGAAGGTCAGATCTGTTCATGTTTGCATGTTTCAACCATAAAAATACTCGAAAATTAATAAATGCAAGATAGAAATGTTTAATAGTGTTGAACGTTCGAGGTAAGATATATGATCTCCATGAAGACAAGCAGGTGGGGGACCCCATCAGAAAAGTTACATATCTATAAAGCACCTACTACTTGAACTGTTTTTGGTATGCCATTATTGTAATCTACGTAACCAAGTAATTTTGGCACATGGTGGGAAGGCCATTGAGTAAATAAATAAAAAAGATTTAATTCAAACTATGACTGTAATTTATTAATTTTCAAAGTTCAGACAGTCTATGTATACAAGTATGTAAAAACATTTCTAATGCCAGGTTTTGCATGAAGGATACTGTTACTGTTGAGTCAGGTGTATGTTAAAAGTCAAGGGCCAGAGTTATCCCAAAGACACAACCACGGGGGGGGGTGTTTAGTCTGGTCCCTGTGGCGGTGCTTTCAGACCCACTCACACACAATGAAGATGGAAAAGTCAAGTAACAGCCACTATAGCCATGACCAACTCTGCCTTTGTACAATATAAGAAACAATGATTTCAGCATTCTTTTCTATGTCAACCCAGGATCTTTTCTGTAGCTGTCCACAAACCTCTGTTGGTAGGGCTGTAGGGTCCATTATGACCCAGATGCCACTTGCCAATCATGGCCGTATGATATCCAGCTGCTTGGAGTAGCTGGGGAAAGGTGACCTCAGACAAAGGCAGGCCTGCTACAGAGTTCACTCCAAAGTTGTGGGTCACACCATTTCTCAGGCCATAGCGCCCTGTCAAGACGGCCGCTCGAGATGGAGAACAGGTGGAGGCTGGAGAGTGAAAATCTGTGAATCTATTAGAAATGTAGAGATATTAGTAGTACACTTTAAGACGAATTTTAGCATAATATTGAAAAGACATCCCACCTGCGTCCCTGCTGGGCCATCAAGTTTAAGTAGGGTGTGTTATTCCTCCTGATCTCAGGACTTAAGTTTATATCTAGATCACCCCAGCCTATATCATCCGCTAATATTATGATGAAGTTAGGTTTTTTAGTAACAATGTTTTGGAATCCTTGGTGTGTTAGAAGAACACATAGTAACATGCAGAACAGAAAAATTGTGCTGAAAACCTCTGCCATTTCAGTCAGTCAAAGCCTGCAAGGCAAACAAACAAAACAATCACGCTTGGAACATGTATGGCTGAAAAAGCAAATTGTGAAAATAAAATAAAATGTTATATAGTGATCACAATAATTCAACAGCATACAATAAGAAAACACAACATGTTGTGACGTGGTGCTTAGGCTAGGATTTAAGTTGAGTTGTTCTAGTAGATCAAGATTAACTGGGATGATCAGTAGTCTACATAAAACAAAGAAAACTATGTCAACGTGGATTTAGTACAGTGCTAAAGGTTGACCTACATTATGCTGTCAATACCTTCAGTAGTTTCGGTAAAGCCCCACTAATAATAGCCTAGTGTCTATGGTAGGCCACAGCCATAAAATGGATGCGCTGGAAAAAAATTTAACATTATGAACTAGTATATTGTTTATATCCTTGCACTTTTCTCAAAATAAAACAATGAACAAACTCAAACGTATGGTTCTTTCACAAAAACTTGGTCTAGAGGAGGCGAGGAAAGAAACTGGCTGTAACCAGATTTGTTAACCCTTCAGCCCCCCTCATGCCGCCTGGGAGGAGCTTATTTACCGTGCGAGAGCGGCTGAATAGTAGTGGTCTGCGCGTCCTTAGACTGTACGATCGCGTCTGGCACAGGATGCGTGCGCGCAACTACGACGAAGGACCACGTCTTTGTGAACACGTGCTACTGTATTTTCGTTACAAACAAAGCGTCGTGACGCGAAGGTAACGACTGCTGCCCGTCGAAAGAGAATTCCTCTTTTAAAGAGTTAAAAAGGTGAGTACAAACTTCTTTGGTAAGAAGACGTTCAGATGTCCGGTGCTCTCTTCTCATCACGAGATAAACAACCTCATTGGCGGCGTGTCCATTGCGTCAGGCGGTCCTGGGTTGGCCAAATTACCCGACTATTTGCATAATCCTTATTTATTATTATTTATTAAACTGTCATAGGCTTTATAATCGTATAGGCTTATACGATCCAGTATTTTCAACTGCATTAATGTTGTAAACGGTTTTAATGTGTCTAAATGTCTGTATCTTGTTTATAGATTGTTGGCTTAAACTGAGTAGTGAGGCCAGCTGGTCCTGCCTAAAGTCCATAGTAAAGAAGTGGAAGGAATTATGACTCAACAATCAATACGATGAAATTGTTGTAATTTGCAAATGTGCTTATAACTGAATAACTTAATTAGGGGTGTCAAATTATCACGTTAATTGCGATTAATTAATTACAGTCATATTTAGCGCGTTATGTTTTTTAATCGCGTTAATCTCATTTTTAATCTCTAACTTTAGTGTTTCTGTATGCGAGTTGCTTTATTATAAAACCTGTTTTTATGTGTTGTTGGGACAACAACAACACACACACACACACAAAACACATTTATACATTTTTTTCACAATGGACGAGGTCGAAGAGCCAGTAGAACAGAGGCAGCAGTGCACAGGTAAAAACGCATTCGTGTCTTGGAAATTATTCTGCCGACGTGAAATATAAAAGAAAATAACAAATATAAAATCGCCTACAACTTAAATGTCACTGGTGAAAACAACTTGCATAGACTCATGATGTCTGCACTACTGTCCTATAGTGACCTGCCACATGAGGGGACACGCACACAAACACACACAAACAAACACAAACACACACAAACACACACACACACCTTCATCATCGTCATTAACCTGAGAACTCGCGGACCACGTTTCCTTCCGTAGTTACTGCGCGGACACCGACGTGCTCCCGTGAGCCGCGTGTGGATCGTGTTTTCTCGCTACGCTGCGTAAACTGCGCTTCCTCCTGTGCGCCTCTAAACCAGAACTAACACCAAGACTAAAACCAGGACTAATCCAGTCCAGGATTAAACCAGGTCTAAACCAGGACTAAACCAGGACTAAAACCAAAACTAAAACCAGGTCTAAACCAGGTCTAAACCAGGTCTAAACCAGAACTAACACCAGGACTAAAACAGGATTAATCCATTCCAGGACTAAACTAGGACTAAACTAGGACTAAAGCAGGTCTAAACCAGGACTAAAACAAGGACTAAAACCAGTGATCTCATATATAAAGCATTTCTCTATCAATAATATTTTTAATATGGTTAAGGAAAGACTGGACTTTTTATTGTCTTTAAGTAGACAAAAGTTATTATGTTCAGATTTCCTCGTCTTTGCTACTTTACAGCAAACAGTTTCTTATTCATGGAGACTTGGGCTCAACAGCCAATTTGGAGAGATTTGTTAAACAATAAATGACTTTATAAAGTCACTTTTTTTAATCTATATTAGTCTTTTGATCTGCCACAATAATGTAATAATGAATTTAAATGAAAATACCTCAGATTGAAGGCTTTTCTCAGCAATTTTTAGGTGAGATTAAAATGAGATTAATTAGATTAATTAATTACAGATCATAATTAATTAATCTCTCAATTTTTTTAATCGCATGACAGCACTAAACTTAATACATTATAATGTGTAAGCTATTGTGTAAGTCTAAGGCATGCCTTCACACTTGCTTACAAACCACGTCTAAAATGGGACAAACCTGTGAATTTGGGCCTGGAGGACTAAAGGACTTCACCAGAGCCAAATCAAGTCTTCATCAGACTAACGTGTGGATACACCTAAACCTACACTACAGGAGGTCTGTTTTATGTGACTACACTTGCTCTCTGTTTTACAGATTATGGGCGTGCTTAGGATGAAGCCGATGCGGTTCTTGGGGCCAAATGTGTACCCCAAACATCCTGACGGTGGCTGGGGCTGGGTAGTGGCCGTGGCCTTTTTTGTGGTGGAAATGTTCACGTATGGCACCATCAAGAGTTTCGGCATCTTCCTCCAGGACCTGATGGAGGAGTTTGGAGAAACCAACAGCCGAGTATCATGGATTGTTTCTATATGTGTCTTTGTAATGACCTTTAATGGTAAGCAGTGTTTTACCCAACAGCACAAAACAGACAAGAGTGTGTTACAACAATTATTATTGTTCTAAATGCAGGTCCTATCTCATCTGTGATGACAACTCGTTTTGGGTTCCAGCCCGTTGTTATGCTTGGAGGATTACTAATATCATCTGGAACTATAGCAACCAGCTTTTGTACTTCTGTTAATCTAATGTACCTCACGTATGGAATAGTTGCAGGTATTACTATTATAAATTTTCATGTAACTATTGATGTCATATTGCGAAGAGACAAACTTAAATTTTATTTTTAGGATTTGGTTACTGCCTGACGTTCTTACCGACTGTGACCATCTTATCCCAGTACTTTGATCGTCAGCGGTCTTTGGTCACTGCTTTAGCCTCCACTGGGGAGTCACTGTCCATGTTTGCCTTGGCACCAGGTAAATCAAACAAACAAAATCGATCCTTTAAACTACTATTCTGAACCTTTTGAACACTTTTTTGTTGTTGTATGCTTTAATGTTGTCAAATGTTGTCATTTATACACAATTCAACTCATTTTGCCTACAGCTTTTTCTGCATTGAGGGATAAAATTGGCTGGAGACACACTTTGGCAGTGATAGGAGCTTTGCAGAGCATTATTATTTTATGTGGTGCTATGCTGCGGCCAATCATCATTGATCCAAATTTCAAAAAGGAAACTGAAAACACAAAAACCTCACAAAAAGAGACAAATGAAGAGGATTCTGTGAAACATAAACTCTCTTACAGCCAGGAGAATGAGTTGACTGGAGACTCTGGTATCCAATCTCTGAAAGACAGCGATATTAACAGCCCTGAAGTCAAGACTTTATTAGAGAAAAGTACCGAAAATAAATATGTGCAAAACAGCGAGCAAACACAAAACAAAGATATTGATGATCAGACACAACCAAAAAGTGAAAACCTTGCTGCCAAGAAATCCAAACTTTTAGATTTCTCCGTCCTCAAAGAACACAGCTTCATCTTCTACTCTCTGTTTGGACTCTTTGCAACTCTTGGCTTTTTTGCTCCACAACTTTACATTATAGAGCTTAGTGTAAGTTGGGGCATTGAACGGGATCGTGCTACTTACATGCTCTCCATAATGGCAGTGGCGGAAATTCTGGGTCGTTTCTCCATCGGCTGGATCCTGACCAGACCCTGCTTGATGAAGAGGAAGTTGCTGGTGCTACTGAGCTGTATAGTTATAATGACAGCAGATCTGATTGGATTCACTTTGGTGAGAGAGTTCTATGGCCTGGCTGTGTGCTGTGCATTATATGGCTTTTTCATGGGGACTGTTGCCTGCACCCACATCCCCTTATTAGCAGAGGATGATGTTGTGGGAATAGAACGAATGTCTGCAGCTGCTGGAGTATATGTCTTCATACACAGTTTTGCTGGATTGGCTGGTCCCCCACTTGGAGGTGAGAATCAGAGTAGAGATGTGCAAAAAGCTTGCATTTGTTTCCAAGTAAAGTATAATGCATTGTGCCTTCTTTCTTGCAGGGGTGTTGGTGGATGTCACGAACAACTATGGATCAGCTTTCTACTCCTGTGCTGCTGGTATGGCTTTGAGTGCTGTATTCCTGGCTTTAGTGCGGCCTGCGAAAAGAGGGTTAATTTGCAAAACAAGAAATTCAAAATGCCCTGATTCCACACAACAGGGAGCTAAGAACATAAAGGATTCTATCACTAACAATGTTTCTCAGGAAAATGTAGCTTTGGAAGCAGCCTGTAATGAGGAGGCCACACAAATTGACTAGAATGTTCAAACTTAATTTGACCGTTAGACCAAGAAATGGTCTTGGACTGCTGCTCCTATAATGAAATGATTACACCAAGTTACATTTTACATGTTGGTAAGTATGTATTAATATTATATTATTATTATTTTTACCAATTACATATGCGGCAAACAGTTCATCCGAAATGTTCAGATAAACAATACTATTACAACCGTGCAAGTTTAAATATAAAAAGGTTTTAAGATTTCTGACTAAGCTATACAAAAAGCACATAATTGTTAAAACTTGACAAACTACAAACCTGCTGCCTATAGTGCCATAGATACATACTGTGAAATACTGTAGTAACACGCACATGAAGTTTTACTTTTTTTCTCTAGCAATAAAATGTTAATTTATAACTGCATACACATCAATCTCAGGACGTGATTTTGTACCTAATCATACTTTTTGTGCTAATGTTTTTTTATCAATTAGTTGTATTCTATCAGCTAATAAAGGCACATTATACAGTATGTTAAAGGTAATTTACAAAGAGGCTATATTTATAAGAAAATTTCACCACAATAAAGGTTTTTATTATTTAAATACTAACGCTATGAGTTTTATTGTTTTTTTTATATTAGCACAATAAATATATAAATATGTTCCATGTTCCACTGCCACAAATGAGAAAACACATAAATAATACAGTTAAAACAGTTCATGTTGCATTACAAATAGACTTTGTACATCCACATCAATGTTGTAAGAACTAAGGCTTGTAATTGTCAAAGTGTATGGTAATTTCCATACGTAAAACAATCACTCATGTCATTCTGAGTGAAATCCATGGCTTTGAATTGTAAAATAATTCAGGCAAAGACAGAATTCAATACTATAAGTCATTTTCAAGCACTTCCAGGCATCTCTGGAGCCACAGTTTGCTGGAATTAAAGTCTTGGGTGGGTTTGGGGAGGTCAGGTCCAGAATGACAGACAACACCGTCTGTTTTGGATGTCTTACTCTGACCGTCCTCCATCCAAAGGACTAAGGCCTGTTGAGTGGAGATGAAACACATTAACTGTGCCTGGAATAAAACTAAAGGTAGGTGAAATGTAAAGAAAATATTGTTCAAATTAAAATGTGTAAAAGCTCAAAGCAACTAATCAGTAAATATGTTCTGTCTTGTTCTAGCTCTTTAGGTTAAATGTAGATCATTTGTTGAGATCACCCCAGCTGTGAACTCAGACATGCGAGGTCACATAACATTCTTGGGTCAAGTGTAGAAGTTTCTGGAAAGTTAGAATGGCTTAGGAGCATTACTTAACTTTTAAAAGTTAAGTAAGTTAATAAATAAATAAATAGGTTTAGTATACTATTCCCTACAGTCATTGTTTTCAAGAAAGACATCCAGTATGTTATGAAATACTATATTATATATTTTAATTTAACAGGTTCTATATTACACAAAATTGACTCTTTAAGCCATGTTAGAATGTAGTTACCTCCTCAAAAACATACCTGGAGTTGTATTTTGTTTCATTCACACATGTTTCTACATCTCCAAAGATCAAAATACTTTGTTCCACCTTGTGACTTCATGAAACAATAGTTTAAACGTTAACAGCTTCCATTTACCTTTAGTTCAATAGAGATTGCAATTCCAGGGCTCAAATTATCAATAAATTCTAGTAAAGGTGTATGAACAGTGAAGCACTTCCTGCATTACCACATGCAGGGTTTGTATGTTAAACGTGTGAATGAAACAAAACACAACTCCAGGTATAGTATGTTTGTGATGGAAAATCACAATATAAATATAATAGAATGGGCCCTTTAATTTACCTTATATCTGTCAGCAATATTGAAACCAATGGCGGCCTGTAACTTTCGGAGACAAATGGGGCAAAAATCCAGAGGTCTGCGGTCAGACTCTTCTAGGTGATTGGAGCCCTGCATGACACAGCTCAGCCACTGGCAATGCCTTATTCCAAACATATGACCAATCTCGTGGGTCATTGTCTAGAAGATAGAATGGAAATGTTAAGAAAAAACAGACTTTTGCATTAGGCAGAGAACGCAGAGTTACCTTGCATGATCGCAAGAGCAAAGTGCTGCTGATGGGAGGGTTGTAGTACCCATCAAACACAGAGTAGTCATCCTTCTTTAACTTATGCTGTTTCTTTAGCCTCCCTGCATAACTTCTGCTGTAGAAGTTGTCATCATATCTGGCAAAACTGAAAATGCCCATTCCTGTACAGTGTATAGAGTAAGTAATAAGAATATTGTACAGCATGACCTTGGCTTAAGTGCCCTCTAGTGGTGATAGTCTCCGATCACACAAAACAAGTACAATTAAATTTGTCTTTCATAAACTACAAGCCATACCATAAAATTTTTAATGCTAGTAATATTTAACCTTTTATGAAACTAAAAGCAATTTCATTCAATACATTAATATTTCCACATTATTTAATTCATAAGATCAAAGAGACCACTTTATATTCACTCACCACTACTGAGAGATGCCTGTCCAAAAACAAAATTCCATGAATCTTTGGGATATAAATCAATCATTGTGATCCCAACAATGCAGAAAGCATCTTTAGGTTTTCTATTTTCAAGAAATCTAAGAAGGTCACCTAAAAATAGAAAATTGAAGAACACATTGCATTAACTGACAAAAACTTCCTTAGCTTACTACTAAGTAAAAACTAGTACTTACCAGTAAGAATCTGGAGATTGTGAGAACTGCTGTTTATCCTAAATGTACATCTAGTTTCAGCCACAGTAACTGTTGATAACAACTTGACAGTGAGCCCATAAAAAAACGCATGGCAATATTCTCTCAGCCACTCTACATATTGATCTGTTTGGGGCCCAGCTTCACCAAAAGAGCCTAAGGGCAATATAAAAGGCTAATACTACAAGCATACATCTGGACACATGTCTATTATATTCTGTAACAGACGTGTGTCTATTACATAATATTACATGAAGTGTCTGCTCACCAATAGTTTGAATGTAAATAGCATTGTGGCTTGCATCGGGGGTTTTGCGGGACAGGTCTCTGTAAAAGCTCTCAAAGTCTTGTGGCTGCTCAGGGTGAGCAGGGATCCAGTCTGACTCTGAATGCACAGTGATGTTCTGGAAAAGGGAACCTGGCTGTCCTGCCTTATAGCCCTCCTCCAGAAGACGTCTTTCTTGATCTGTGTACTTGTTGAAAAGTTTAGTTAGTTCTGTACTGTTCGATATTAGAGCTCTCCGCAGTGCTTCTTTGGAGTGCTGGATAACTTTCATCTGCAAAGGGAGAATTTGTTTAAGAAATGAGACAACCAAAACTACGTTAAGAACAGATAAGCAATGAACATTTGGAGCCAATTATAACCCATGTGAAAATAAACACATCCCCTCAAAGTCGGCATAATTAAAATGCAAGGAATGATTTAGACCCATAGTTTCGTAGTGTATTCATAAAAAGCATTCTGACAGTAGAGAAGAGTGAATATATAATGTGTAATAATCAGAGATACTGATATTTACCGTAACGTAGCAGCATTAAAAACATTGCCACCAAACAAATCTTGACACCGGAAGTCTTTTTTTCCCCTTGTGACGTCGCGTAAACAGATGGGCGGCACGAGGGCGGGACTTAGTGCTTGTGAAAAGCAAGGCTTGCACTGTCATACTTTTGAAGGATTGATTATCGTGTATTTCCATCTTAAATGCGTTCATATTTATTATTTGTCACGTTTTTGGAATATTTACTTTGACTGCAGTCCCAAAGGAGTAACGGATCGGTGAAAGGAGATTGTACAACGGTATACGAAAGCGGAAGAACTTTCTTGTAGCACTGGGACTGAAGTTAGCTTCTGTTGAGTAAGCCTCTCGAGAAATAGCCGATACATCATTACTTCGTACTCGCCAGCTTGTCAGCCGGTTAATTTTGCTGTCATAATTGGTCATTTGAAAATTTGCTCTAAGACGAGAATACGAACACAGGATAGCTTGCTAGCAGTCGTGCTGTCAGAGAGCCAGTGCTATGCAGAGGAGGTAGTACTGCTGGACCTGACACTCCATACTCTGCTCACCACAAGCTTCTCTGCACTCTGCTCTCTGTGGTGGGTGAAGGGGACGGTGAATGCCAGTAATAACATGAGGCTAGCTTAGTAAAACTGTAGTTAAAGTCAGGTCGGGAGTTATACAAGCGTTTTGCTCTTTTTGCCTCACAACTCAGAAGACAGTCATGCTGACTGATAGTAGGTAAGGTTGTCTTCTATATGTCGGCAATAACGTATTTTCTATGCTTTATGTAATGTACTTCTGTCAAAGGGTGTGTATGTTTCACTGCCACGTTTCGACCTAACATCCTATGTTGTGGTTACTATTTTTGGTCTTCACTTTTTTTTTTTTTTTCCATCTCGTTCTACCACACGCGCCCCTAATGAGTGTGTATTAGATGTGTCACAGAGCATATTTTTTGTTTTCTGACAGGAAGCGACACCGCAGCAGTGACAGTGAGGAGGACCAACAGCTGAGTCCTCAAGCCAAACGGCCTAGCAGTGGTCCCTGCCTCCTAGTCTCTGATCTGGATTCAGAGGTATGAAGGTCTCCAGTGTCGTAGTTCATACTGATCAGTTCCATCTGTAGTAAATCCTTTGTAACACTCCATATTAGTATACTAAGCAGTAGCATCTGGCTTTTTATTGATGGATTTTTTTGTTTTTAGTCTTCCAGCAATGATAGCAGTAATGGGCTCTGCAATCCTGAAGGAACATTACTGATCAGAACAAGCCCATGCTCACACACCCAGAGCCACTGCATCTCACAGTGCTCTCCCAGCCCAAAGCCTGAAGACTCTGCCAGCACTTTGCAGCATGGTTTCCATGGCGACAGCAGCAGTGTCTCCTACGACTACATCAACAGAGTGTTGCGGGAGGCACACTTCAGCAGTCTGCAGACCAGGGGACGTCCAGGCTCCACATGACGTTATATGTGACCTATCTACTGATAGCCTGTCTCTCTCACGTCAGAGCCAAGTGTCCTGGCTCGGAGGTCCCTCATATGGAAATGTCATGTGAACAAGTCAGGAGAAAAAGTGTGACATGTACCATTTGTCGAGACCATAAGCACATCAACAATACTGTGACCCTGCCACTGTGGTATATGTGCAGTATTGGTGGGTATGTTGTGTGTAAGTGTGCGTGCATGCACCCAGTGCACTTTATTAAGAGGAGTCCTTCTCTTTACATGCGTGTCAATGCGTGGACATCTTCATTGGTGCTAATCACAACATAAATGTGACCATTAAGTGCTCGAGTATCTAAATAAAGCTAAGCACTTTCATCAGAATCTCCTGTTTTTTTACTCTTTAGTTTGCTGGCTAGTGGAATTACATTGACTGAGGAAGCCTTGCTTAGACAGTTCTGAGCACGTACCTCATGCAAGTGATTTAAGAACCTGAGTCTGTTCTTGGATTAGCATTTGGATACATTAGACTGAACAACCTTCAGTCTGCTGCTTGTGCTAAAACAAAATAAAAATAAAAAATCTGACTAATTCATTGGGTTTTAAATAATGTGATTGAATGCAGTGTTTTTGTTGTTACATGTTTAGTTTAATACAAAATAAATAATTTTGAGGATATTTATTTCTTGTAACTGAATCATCAAATAGCCTGTTAATTTTATGAATGACTTATTCATAGTACAGCCATGCAGTCACACTCTTGGGGTTAAATTCTTGTTTTGAACTTTTCAAAAGATTTTGTATAAAACAGAGTTGGTATAAATAATGGTCAATTACAACTAATTAACATAATAAAAAAATATATTAAACATTAATGTGCAAAACAAACTGAGGGACACCCTCAGAGAGTCTGGAAATCCCAGAGGCAAACCATCTTAATGTCCTGAGTTTTAGAAGCTAATTTTAATGAACAAAATATACTTCTGTAAAACAAAGCTTTTGAATGTAAGTACCACAAAACTAAAAGGAAGGAGAATTATAGTTCTCATAGATGTGTCTGAAATGCTGAACTAGTGAACATCATTGGTAAAAATTTTGTTTAAATGAACCATTGTCAAGAGTTGAGAAATGAAAAGGCAGACACCGCCTCGGTGTCATCAGAAGAAACAGAAGTATCATAAAAATGTGTGTCCTCAGCTGTTATACTAGTCGAGTGTGTGTCTGTTAGATTGTCTCTGTTTTTTCCTGCATTTTCCTCTACAGACACATTTAAGATGTCATCCATGGCTTTCTTCTCTGTCTGGTTCTCACTCACAGACCTGGACGTGGTCACCAGCTCCATCCCACTGAACAGTGACAGGCTGTTAGTGTCTGACCGGTGGAGCTCCCAGGGCAAAGGGCTGCTGCTGGTTTGGACCATTTCATGTCCAGCTCTAACCTCAGCCTCAGCTGTCCTACCACACTCCTCCAGTCCATGGAGGCGGTGCGGGACATACTCTGGTAAAACCTGTGGCAACTGGCCAGGATGTGTTAGGTCTAAAGGGTCAGTACATGCAGATGTGAAATTGTCCGATGTATGATGGCTGCTTCTTGAATTTGGTTGCTTATGAAGAGGCTGAGATCCACGGGTCAGAGCTTCAAATTGCCGTAAAAGCTGTACAAAATTATAGAAATAAAGATTTGTTATTGTAAGATCTAATTCATATGTCTGCTTTGAGGAATATGAGAGTCTAAAGACGAAGAATAGGAAGACAAAGAACAAATGCTCCATGTATTGCTTTACCTTGGTAGCTTTGTTGACCACAGGACCTGAAGGCCCCTCACTCAGCAGATAAAGTCTGCTCTGTGTAGCCGCAAATATTTGTTCCAGCGAAAGGAGGTCAGAGGTCATAAGACATGCTAAAGCACACATTGTTCGCTACAATATAAGAAACAAAGAGTTAAATAGAGTTACAATTTAAAAGGTTTTACCAAATTTTTAAAAGATACAATTAATTTTAAAACTACCATTTTAACTGTGCCTGAAGGATCTTGGAGTTTCTTGGCAAGTAGGTCAACTACAACTTCACAGTTTAAAGTAGAAGACCTGAAATATCAAAACCAAAACTCTAAAAAACAATGACAAAAACGTGAAAGCTTAAAAAACTGACTCTAACTGACTCTTTTATGAAGTGCTGGCTTTCCTCTCGTGATAGAAAAACCTTGGAGCCATCAGTAATTTTACTGATAAGTGCCACCTCCTGGCCACAGTCTCCTAACTGTAGGGCTTCCACCCTGAAAACATGAGAAGGTCAGGCATCGACAGCGCATTGTCTCCAATACTCTAGATTTTGTTTCTACGAACCTTTCGGATAGATCTCCACTGCTCTCTCTGCTGGCCCCAGACTGGCTACCTGTGCCAGCCGACCCTCTTCCTGTAGACACCCTGCAATGGCCTGAAACTTCTCGAGAGGAATTGTGAGATGAACTGTTGACACTGTCCGTTTCTTCCCAGCCTCCTCCTATTTGTCCAGGGCATCGCTGAGTCACTGTGTACAGAGCCATGAAGTGTGAGTGAGGTTTGTAAACTCTTCATTTAGGTCTTTATTTATGATATTTGACTGACCTTTAGGTTTGCGTGCAGGTAGGTTGTATGAACATGCGGGTACTGCCACTTCTATGGGTGCTGCTGGAGCCACTACTGCCCTGTAATGGTTGTCATAGAGACGGATACCTTGGTGCTCAGTTGGAGGAAGCACAGCACTGGCCACAACTTCAGCAGCTTTCTGAATCTTATCTAGTAACGAATCATTGCCTGTTGACAAATGGTGATCACACGCACACAAGCACACGTGCACATGCACACACACGAAAAAATTCAATACATGCATGAATTTCACTTTTCTGTGAATATGAAAATATAATTACTTACCAAATCCCTGTTTGGCTGGACTGTACCCAAACCCCTGCATTCCTGATTTATGGGCGGCAGAACCCATGCCTTCAAAACAAAAAGCATTTTACTCTTGCAGTTTTAAAAACACTTTCTCAAAAATAAAAATAAATCACTGCATCTTCTATTAAGAACACACCTGTTGTTTGATGAGCTGTTGGAGAGATGCTGTTCTTTATTACAGTTGTATCTGTGAAGAGAAGCCTTGCCACCTCCTGCAGATCAAAATGATGGTGAGCATAAAAATGATGCCGTTTTTCCACCTAATACATATTTGGAGCATTCTACCTGTGCTGTATTTCGTACTCTCTGATACAATGCAGTGCCATGGATAGGGTCAGGAGGACCACTGTAAACTTCACGACAAAAAACGGGAGTAAAAATAAGAATACAAATAATAAAAAGAATAAAGTTAAGGGACAAACCTGATGCTTGCTGGATGAAAGTTGAGTTCCTCCTCAATTCTGTGAGAAAATGGTTTGAACCATGGTCACATAGATGTACAAAAATCTTTAGCACCTAGAAAAGAAGCAAAAGGACAGCTGGTTACATAATAGACCATATCATACTAACAAGTAATGTATTTAGGCCTAGTAATAGTATAGACTTGCCTTGAGTTTAACATGGCAAGATTTCACCTGTAGCCTTTCGAGAAGATACTCCAACAAACATTGACCATATCCTAAAGATTCATGAGATATTTCTGAAGTGTTAAGGACATTTCAGTAGGCTAATACAGTAGCTTACACACATAGGCACTGCTGTCAAAGCTATTCAAGCATAAAAACAGTGACAACACCAACAAAGGATACTGCTGATTTCTTGAAAAAGGTAGCCGGGGCAGGGATTCTCATCATCTGCTGTGGCTTTCATTAGCATCGGTACCTTAAAATGATGGAAAAACATGCTATGTTATGGATTGTAGTTCAGATGTGAGCTAGGCTAATTTAAGATCATCGGGAAAGTATTAGTCGGAAT